TAGTATATAAATATAATGGAATATTACAGTGCCAAAAGAAATGACAACATGGACAGTGGGTAGAGCATTGGGTCTGGATTCAGGAAGACCTGAGTTCAAATTCAGTCTCAGACATTCACTACCTGTGTGACCCTGGGCAAGTCACTTAATCTAATCCACTGTAGAAGAAAATGGCAAAAGCCCTCCGGTTTCTTTGTCAGGAAAACCCCATATGGAGTCAGATACAGCTGAACAAACATTAATCTCTGCCAAGCACTATGCTAATCATTTTACAGTTATTACAAACCTGGGAGGTAGGTACTATTATTATCCTCATTTTACAGCTGATGAAACTGAGGCAAACAGAAGTTATGTGACTTGCCCGAGGTTACACAGCTAATAAATGTGTGAGGCCTTATTTGAATTCAGGTCTTCCTTACTTCTGGCCCAATGCTGTATCCAACAAGCCACCTAACTTCTACATTGCCTTTTCATCTCTCCAAACAAGAACCAGTATCAGGACCAGGGTGGCCATGAGACAACAAGAGTATATACCTTTTTTCTAAGAGATCAGTATGTATACAGTACTATCAGTAAACCTTCTAAATAGATCAACTGAATATAAGGCTTTATTTTTATAACTTTAAATTCTGGACTGAATTGGTGGACATATATAAGTTAGTGGAGATATATAGTTGGTTTCAAATCCAGATTTGAACTCAAAAGTCTTCCTGACTCCAGGCACAGCACTCTATCCGCTGCCCTAGTAGCTATCCATCTTTGATTTTATCCATCTCTTTGATTTTAAAGAATAATTATGCTGTTGTTTCATAGTAGCAGTTCGACATTTCATTTTGAACTAAACCTTTCCTTCATTCTTAATTGAAGAAAGGTGTCAAGTCTTGTTAATTTTTACCTCCACAACAGGTCTTGAATCTGTTCTATGCCTTGGTTCAAGCCCTCATCATTACTTCTTACTTAGAGTTTTGGAGTAGCTTCCTAGTCTCTTTGCCTCAAGTCTCTCCCCTCCGCAGTCTATTCTCCACATAGATGTTCAACTGAGATTCATAAAATCTGACCATGTCACTCCCTGATTTGGTACAACTACCCATTGTGACTCTGAATTACCTCTAAGGTCAAGTACAAGCTCCTTTGTTTGACATTTAAAGTCCATAACCATCTAGCTCCTGACCTACCTTATATAAACTTCCCTTAAAACACTTGTAGACAAAATGGCCTTAATTGTTCCTCAGGCAGGACGTTCTGTCTCCTAAACCTTTCCCTTTTCACAGGCTGTCACTCATGCCTAGGATGTACTACTTCCTTATTGCTGCTTCTTAGAGTCCCTAATTTTCTTCAAAAATCATCTCAAGTGCCACCTTCTACATAAAGTATTTCCTGATTTCCCCCCTCATTTTAAAAAATATATCATGTTTATGTATATGTTGTGTTCAGGATAGAAGTGTTGTTTAGCAAATGATTACTCTTTCCTCCCTGCATTTTTATAACACTTATTTTCTTGCTTCTTTTTTCTCCTGGGGAATAGACAAGATGTAGGATTGTGCCAGGCAAGTCAAATCAACCACCACCTTGACCACCGTCTTGCCTCAGATGCTAATAGAGATCTCCTGGGACCCTGAGTCCAAGAGATTTAATAATAGCAGTGCCCTCCAAATCAACAGACCTTCCAACCTAGCCCCTATAGCCATCAGTGGGAATAAGTCATGATGGGAAGGGTGCCTACCTTCTTTACCATCACCAGCAATAATTGCTGACCATTAGACTCTGAGCTCCTAGAGATCAGGCACGGTTTTTTGGGGGCACAGAAGGGGGAAGGACTTTGTGTTCCCAGCACTTAGCAAAATTCCTGGCACATAGTAGACATTTAATAAATGTTTGTTGAGGACTTGTCCAACTACCACCAACTGGCACATTGTCACATGACCTCACAGAACCCTACCCAGAACAGTTATGCTTCCAATTCAGCCCTCACAACTATTATCCAGGGAAGCAGTTCTTATGGAGAAAGGGCCAATGATCCCTACCCAGTGCCACCTACAAGGGAGGCAACCTAGCCTAGCTAAAGCAACAGGTACCAAATTGTCCTTCTTGCTATTTCCCAGACATTACATCTCTCATCTTCATACCTAAATGAATTTCCTTTTCATCTTCACCTCCTAACAGTTTTATTTTTCTACTAGAATTGACTTGTGCTTCTTTCTGTATAGGCTTGTGTTGATTATGTCAGATGTTTGTGCTGCCCTCTCCCTCTGCCCCCTCCCCCCAGAAATTACTTTGTATTTTCTTAGTTTTTATATTACTTATTTGAGTATATTTGAGTATACAGGGGTGCACTAACTATATATATGGTTTAATTTTCCTGATAGAATGTAAATTGCTTGAAGTCAGGGGCTATTTTTTTTTAATTTGTTTTTGTGTCCACATCTTCTAGTACAATGCTTGGCACATATTAGGCTCTTCATAAATTCTTCAGTGAATGCAGTTACAGAGCTTTAAAAGAGTTAGGTCAGGTTTGAAGGAACCATCTAATTGTCTTCCGTACAAGCCGCACTTGAATCTGCCTCCTTTGCCATTTGTGGTGTTCTCTGTGCCTAGAATATTGTCTTTTCTGCCTATTGACTTTTCACCACTGCAAATGTGCTTCTAGAAAGCCTTCCAAAATCTTCCCCCATGAGACCTACAGAACACTTTTTAACTTTTTTGTGCATTTACCATGTGTTATTTTATTCCATCGCTGTGACTTTGAATAGGCTGTTCCCTTTAGCCTGGAATATACTCTTGGAATCTCCCCTTGGAGGGAAACGAGACTTGAGTTGGATCTTCAAGGACGCGTTGAATTTGAAAAGGTTAACATGAAAAGTGAGACGAATAATGAATTCTGGCACAGGAAAACATTGAAAGTCTGGAAGCCAGAATGTGAATGGTATTCTTGGGCAAGTGAGGCAGCTTGGTTAGAGTTGAGGGTTCACACTGAGGAGCATAGGGAGATAAAAAATTAAGAGGGTAAGGTGAGGCTGTTTTTCACTGTGTACTTCATAAATTCTTGAAATATGTTGAGGAGTATGGAGAGTCATTAGAGACTTTTGAGCAGGGAAGTGACATAGAATCAAAGAGTTAGAATTAGAGAGGTCTTAGAGCTTCATTAAGCCAATCTCTTTATTTCATATATTTAAATTTATATATTATTTTATATAATTGATAACTTATAGAACTTAACTTTTATGTACTTAATAACTTCTAAGAAGCCAGGCTTCATATGAATAGAGCATGACTTTCTATAGGTCCACTCTAATTTGTTTTATTTTTTTGTCTTTATATACCTAGCAAAGTGCCTGGAACATGGTAGGTGGTTAGTAAATGCTTGTTGCTTGATTGTTCAGTCATATTTGCTATGTGCATTGTATTTCTTTGCAAAAAGGAGGAATAATATTGTGCTGTATTTTTTCCCCTCTAGCTTTACATATAAAAGACTTGAAAAATAAAAGATTCATTATACATTTACTTTTGCAACCCCAAACAAGCATGAAATTCAGAAGAGTTTTGTGGGTTTTTATTTTCCCTTTGTAAAGACTCTATCACTGAAATGATACATTGAAATCCCTAAAAAAAGGAGAATTGAGTTTTGAAGAACAAAAGGTGTTATAGCACAATAAGATTGCATTACATAAAGTGTTCATTAAAGTCAGGTAGCTAACATTCCTAGGCAGCTGAGTGGCACAGTGGATAGGGTGATGGACCTAGAGTCAGGAAGACTCATCCTGAGTTCAAATCTGGCCATAGATCGTTGCTAGCTGTGTGAACCTGGGCAAGTCACTTAACCTTGTTGGCCTCAGTTTCCTGTAAAATGAGCTGGAGAAGGAAATGGCAGGTCACTCCAATATTTTTGCCAAGAAAACCCAAAGAGGTTACAAAGAGTTGGACATAACTGAAAAATGACTAAACAACAACATAGAAGCTAATATTCATGGTTGGCTGCAAGTCCCTCCTCCTTTAGTTTTTTTTTTTTAATTTTTGTTGAGGCAATCCGAGGGTCAAGTGTCTGAGGCTGGATTTGATCTTAGGTCCTCCTGACTCAAGCCTGGAGCTCTTTCCACTGCATCATCTAGCTGCCCCTCTCCTCTAGTTTTGTTTCATACAAACTTTTTAAAAGTGTACCAACATCCATCAATTTTAAGCTATTTGTAGGGGAAAATAGGCTAGTATTGGAACATCTAAAAAAGGTAAATACTTAAATAACAATGAAAAATGTAAAAATATTTCAATATCTCCTTTAAAAATGATGTTAAATAGCCCACATATTTTTTAAATTGCAGCATAATTTCACTAGATATACAGTATTTAATTCTTTATTTGAGTACCTGCAAAAGGTGGTACACTGGATAGAGTGCTAGGCCCTTGAGTTAAGAAGACCTGACTAGCTCTATGATCCTGCAAGTCACAGCCTTTTTGTCTCAATTTTCTTAACTAAAATGGGGATGATAATAGCACCTCTATCTCAAGGTTGTTGTGAGGATCAGTTGAGATAATATTTGTAAAGAGCTCAGTGCAGTGCCTGACACACAGTACTGTATAAATGCATATTTCTCTTTAAACAGGATCTGAACTCTAAACACTTTCTTTGGTTCTTACTGTATTGGTCAATATGGACTACTCTCCACCCTCACCCCCACCCCCAATCTGTTTTGTTTGGCCAGACTTGAGGTCATCCAATAATTGTACTATTAATAAGAGAAGGAAAATAAAAGTGATGATGATGGAGAGAGAGAACAGGAACAGTAAGTATCTTTATATAGAAAGAAAAATTTTAAACCCCTTATAGTATGGCAATTTTGTGTTAATTTTTCAGAGTATATTTGGAATCAGATTTATACATACTATATGTTCAGATTTTTTTAGTGTCTATTAGAGCAAACTACTTTTCTCATCATTAAACTTGTAGAATGGATATATATTATTATTTATCCATAAAGATATGTAATTTCCTTATCTTTTTTCCTAAGGAAACACTGCACTACATGATTGCGCAGAATCTGGAAGTTTGGACATCATGAAAATGCTTCTTAAGTATAGTGCCAAGATGGAAAAGGATGGCTATGGAATGACTCCCCTTCTATCAGCAAGTGTGACAGGTCACACAAATATTGTGGATTTTCTGACACAACATGCACAGACTAGCAAGACAGAACGTATTAATGCCTTAGAACTTTTGGGAGCTACATTTGTAGATAAAAAAAGAGATCTACTTGGGGCTTTGAAATACTGGAAAAGAGCAATGGACATGAGGTACAGTGACAGGACTAATATCATCAGCAAACCTGTACCACAGACATTAATAATGGCTTATGACTATGCCAAGGAGGTGAACAGTGCAGAAGAACTAGAAAACCTTATTGCTGACCCTGATGAGATGAGAATGCAAGCTCTCTTAATTAGAGAACGTATTCTTGGTCCTTCTCACCCAGATACATCTTATTATATTAGATACAGAGGTGCTGTCTATGCAGACTCTGGAAATTTCAAAAGATGTATCAATCTATGGAAATATGCTTTGGATATGCAGCAGAACAATTTGGATCCCTTAAGCCCAATGACTGCTAGTAGTTTATTATCTTTTGCAGAGCTATTCTCTTTCATGCTGCAGGATAGGGCAAAAGGCTTATTGGGAACCACTGTTACATTTGATGATCTTATGGGTATACTGTGCAAAAGCGTCCTTGAGATAGATAGAGCTATCAAACAAACTCAGTGTCTGCCTGACCAAATACAGTTGAATAAAGCCCTTTCCATCATTTTGCACTTAGTTTGTTTGTTAGAAAAAGTTCCTTGTACTCCAGAACAGGATCATTTTAAGAAGCAGACTATATACAAGTTTCTTAAGCTGCACCCTAGAGGAAAGAATAACTTTAGCCCTCTTCATCTGGCTGTGGACAAGAATACCACATGTGTAGGTCGATACCCTGTTTGTAAATTCCCGTCTCTGCAAGTTACTGCAGTACTGGTGGAATGTGGTGCTGATGTGAATGTCAGAGACTCTGATGACAACAGTCCCTTGCACATTGCTGCACTTAACAACCATCCAGACATCATGAACCTCCTTATCAAATCAGGTTCACATTTTGATGCCACAAACTCTCACAAACAAACTGCTAGTGATTTGTTGGATGAGAAGGAAATAGCTAAAAATTTGATCCAGCCCATAAATCATACAACATTGCAATGTCTTGCTGCTCGTGTCATAGTGAATCATAGCATATATTACAAAGGGCACATCCCAGAAAAGCTGGAGAACTTTGTTTTACTTCATAGATGATAATTTGACTGAATTCTTAATACTGTTGAAGCACGAATTGGTAACAGTTGTTTCATATTTGAGCACTGTTGTGATAACACCAGCATTCATATAACTTGATAACATTGTGTTTTCGTTGGCTAAAAGCATTATGAACATCAGATTTGTAGAATTGGTTGCCCCATATTTAATATAAATATGCTATATATTGTTTTGTGGATTATTGATAAATGTAATGCCATATTTCAAATTCCTAAAATTGTCTGCCAAAGCCCTGTCTTTCTTGTTTTATTTGCCTGTTGGGTGTTTGGGACTGAATTCTATTTTTCACTGGTCTCTATACAATTCTTGGTTTGCAGATATAAAGCAAATGAAGGCCTATTTTTTTTTGCCCCTTTTTTCCTGTCCTTTTCTTCCCATCCAGGCCTACCTATCCCTTCTTTCTCTTCCTTTCTTCTTTCTTTCCTCCCTCTTTCTCCCTCCCTCGTTTCTTCCTCTTCCTTCTCCCATCCTTTGCTCCTCCCTTCCTCTGCTCCTCCCTTCCTCCTCTCCCATTTTGCTTGCCTTCCCATCTGTTCTCTTGCCTTTCCTTCCCCCTTTTTTTTGGGGGAGGGGGAGGGGAGTGATGGGATAGAGAGGGTGGAGTAGCCACAGAGAGGGAGCTTAGGCTTGAATATTTCTGGTTTTTATTTTTATTTTTTGTAATGATTCATTGCTGGGTTGTACAAGCTTTATTGACTTTTTACCATTTGCAGTTACCACAAGTGCTTTATATTCTCTATGCACTGGCTTACACATGACTGTTGTACGTTAGCATATTTCTATGCAGCAGTTTGCCAACTTCAACTCAAACCACTGTTTTGAAGAGTTTGTTGAATTATTTTAAGAGAACACTTCACAGCATGATTTTTTTTTAAGGAGCTATGTCAGTTGCCTAAGATTTTCTGATTGGTTTCTTTTTTTTCGGGATGTTTGTGCAGTTGCTTTCTCTAATACACTGAAATTATTATGTGCTCAATTTGGGAGACCTATTCGTCACTCACTGACCCAGATGAAATTTGTCTACCATCTTGCATCATGAAACAAAAAGGAAAGAGTCTTTAGATAAAAACTGGCATACCTTTCATGCTGCACCAGTGCTGTTTTGCATGTACTAATTGTGTGATTGTGTATGGATTTGCTCAAAGTTATCTCAAATTTAATCACACAGTTTAATGAGAAATAGATATTCATAGTATGAAATTACAGATCACCTTATTTTTAAGGATTGCCTTCCTTAGTTACAAAAAACTAAAGCATGTCAGTGGCATGATGCTTGCCAATCTAAACCTAGGCATCTAGTATAATAATATTTTAGTAAATGGTATAATTTCATGGTATAAAAGGTTCAATAAGTGTCCCATTTTTCCTTAAGTTTAAATACACTTCCTAAAGATAACTTGCATGATTTGTCTTTATTTTTCAGCCATACAAGAAGGTTGCAGTACTACTTAGCCCCTTATTGAAAACTATATTTAAAAAATGTATATAATGTGTGCACAACAATTTGATATTGAAGCAGAAAGGGCTCTTTTGATTTAAAAGTATGAGTATAAATAAAAAATACAAATGTGTAAAATTCAGGTAATTACTGTTTAGCACTTTATTGTTATTCAGAATAAAGTTTGATAGCTTATCACTGCAGATGTCTTAAAATGAAATTGTTCTGAATAAAAAGTTCCTCACTCATTTGAGGGGGAAAAATCAGTTGACCTGTGGTAATAGGGCACTGGCAACATTTTGTTTTAAGGGTTTATGTAATATAAAGATTACCTTATGGGTTATTGTTGTGGCCAATAATTGAGATCACCTGCACATTTTCAAAAAATCTTTTTCTTCTTTCTTTTTCTCCTCACCCTCCCTTAAATAATTATTCTACTTTTGTGCATTTAATTAGTTAACTATTCAACATCCTGGATTGTCTAGTAAAGGAATATCTCTCCCACTTGTTAGCTAATTTAAATATTCTTTTTTTGGGCGGGATGTTCTTTGGTGTATATTTTATGAAAATTTAGACCACCAATGAGTATGCTGCCTTTTGTGATACAGGACTGATATTTTGACAACTTTTTACTTAAACCATGTACTACTCAGTGTTTGAACCTATTACACTGTGTGAGTGACTTTTTTAAAAAGAACAATTGACAAATACAGTAAGTCTAAATTGAGCTGTTAAATGATATTTAAAGTCATCCCTTTTTTTGCTAGGTATGAACAGATTTTTAAAAAGTGATTCTACTATTTTTCCTCTTTTGCTTATCCTTTTTATGTGATGTCTTAGTAAGGGACACCAGAGAATCCTCTAAAGATGAACCATAACTCTTTACTTTAAAATGTAGCATTTCTGTACTGCTAGCAATAGATAACTTAGAACTGTTCTTAAGTAATGACATGAAAATTCCTTATTTAAAGTAAGGTACTACTAGGTAGTTTGACATATCAAAGTAATATACTGAGGTATCATCATAAAAGAAATTTTTATTTTGAGAATTCAGAGTTGTCAGGTTCCTTCACACATGAAAAAGCCCTTTTAAGGTATTGTTAAAAGTTATTGTGAAACCAAATAAAATAAGATACTTAGTATCTTTATTTTTTACCAATTATTAAATTTATCCCTAGTATGAGCTAATTATACCGATTTGAGTCAAGTCTAGTGCAAATAAATAGTGTAAAATGTTAATGCAAGTTAACCCTATATCTGCTATGTTCTTTTTTCACCTATTGGCATTCAGTTTTACTACTGGACACCTTTTTTTAAAAAGTAGAAATTTCCATTATTTCAACTAGATGCCAATTTATTTTATATGGGCAAATGGGTTTTAAGTTAAAAAATACTCATTTTCTTTCATCTCTTTTAATAAGGGCTTAAACTCAAATTAATAAAAGTAGATGCCCTTTAATCTAACACTACATTGAATATTTCAGAGACCCCAGCTACTGTGACTTTGAATAAATATTTAAATTCTATTTGACAGAGTAACTCTTTAAAGTTGTGTTGTCTACCAGAAATAAGAGCCTGGAATGCAAGGATTTTAGCTCTTTTAATTTCCCAGGATGGGATAATCTCTGTATTCTTGTATACTGAAATATAGGATAATTGACTGGCGCATTTTGGGGTCAGATACTAAAGAACTTTGAAGAATATTATAATTAACCACCCTTTCTGTCTTATTTTCCTAATCAAGAGCTCTCTTTTGTCAGTTTTCCCATTGTGTATCTTTCCAAAGCAATACTGTATTCGGAGATGACAGCCAATGAATTGTCACAAAATGGTAAAATGACATGCCACAATGTATGTTGTGAGGCATAATAAAATTAAAAATTTACATCAAACTTAAGTGTATGCTTGTCAGAATGTGAATTGACATTCTTGTTTGGGGTCTGTTTAAAGTATAACAATGAATATTTGTTTAAACAGAAACTTGAGTCTCTTCACTGTCATCTGATAACAATTGCTGCCTTTTTTTTTTAGAGTACCTTTATGTGCATTGTGTTGTCCTAATTTCTTTACAAGCCTTATTCCAAGATAGGCTGCAGAAATGAGAACAAAAATGCGAGGAGACGTTTTTGCCAGTTGGGGAAGGATTTTAAAAAACCCAACAACAATTCTTGCTATTGTTTTAAAAGCAACTTGGTATTAATTTTGTTTAGAAGTATAAAATGTTACCTATCACTGCAAAATTGTATTGACTTAGAAGTTAATTTCCTTAACCCTTGTGCACACATATTGTCTTAGTGCTTGTTTGTCTTGAACATTCTAGACAAGGTTTACTGATCAAACTGTCATACCTAACTTGTTCTAGAAAGAGACTTGCCAGAATTTCCAAACTCCAAGCAGCAGTTGATGCATAGATGATTTTATGATTTTTCTCCTTTTGATTATTTATTTTGACCAGTAAAATAATGCCATCTTTTTTTCCCTTTCAGTATGTTCTTGTGTGCTCTGACGTTGTTACTATTTCTTCAGTTATTTTTCTAGCATGTTTGAAAAGGAATTTCTCCCAGATTGATGAATCAGTATTATGTTTACATCAGCAAGCACAAGAAAAATCTTAGTAGTTTATCGAAGTACCATTTCCCTGTCTGCAGATAAACTTCATGCTTTAAGGGAAGGACATTTTTTGAGTGTATGTCTTGCTGTTTGTTTTCAAAAGTGAATTCTTAATAGACTCTTAAAATCTATAATATTGGTTGTGTATATTTTTTTGTTTTCTGGATATTTAATGTTTACCTATAGCTTTTGGTCTTCATGCAAAGTTCATAGCTATGTCTGCTCAAAACCCAAAGGAAAAATTAAACTCAGAAAAAGGGGTTCATATTAAAAAAAAGGTTCACATAAAAGTTCATTTATTGAAATTGTTTTCCCTAGTACATTATAATATGTTTAAGTTACTTGCTTGGATGAACGGGGAGAAAACATTTAAAGCTAACATTAGAAGACACTAAATTTTTTTATGTCGGTACAAAATTAATATTCAGTAAACCTAAAATTACTGTGTAAGTCAGTGGGGAATATGATAACATTTATAAAAATGTGATTGATGCAATTTACCAGTAAATGATGCGTAAAGTTAGGAACGTCTACTCAGAAGATTTAAAACCATGAAATTATTTGTTTTCCTCTTAAAAGAAAAATATAACTTCACAATGGCATATTTAATACTGTACACTTAATAGATCTTCATAAATATTTGTTGGTTCATTGATCCTAAATTTTCTATTTTGAAAAAAAAAGTAGCCTAATCTTATTGAAGTTAGCATCTGTAAAACTATGAAGGATAGAAATCTCAAATACTAAATCTCAAAATACTAAAATGTTTGAGTCAGTTGTAGATATAGTACACAATTAGCTTGGTGACCTTGAAACTAGTAGGACCTAGGTTTGAATCCTGATTCAGATAGCTTTGTGATCCTAGGAAAGTCACAGATCTTTCTCATCTGTAGTTAACCCATCTATAAGCAGGGTATAACAGCATCAACCTCAAAGGGTTGTGAAAATCAAATAAGAATTTTTAAAAGTACTTTGCAAGCCTTTTAAAGCATTATATATATACTAGTTGTTACTATTATTAAACTAAGGGATGAGATTTGAATATTGAAAGATGTATTAGGACAAATAGAACATTTCTTTCTACTTTATGCCATGTATAATAAATAGTTGGATCCTCTGTTACTTAAATGTTTCAGTGATTTATGATTTCCTCAGTAAGGGTAATACTTTCACTGATGCAGGCTGTTCTTCCCTTCTTCCGCCCCCCATTTTATCAGGCTAATCAGCTGCTGTGACCAAAGAACATCATCAGGGAGGTAACATTTCTGGTAATGAACTCTACAAATTTTACTAGACTGGTCCTTGGACAACAGACCTATAATACTTTTTTAGCCTTTATTTGAAACTTTTCTTGCTTGATTGGGACTATAGAACTTTTGAGATGCTAGCATAGCCTTTGAGAATCCATAGTCCCTTCCA